GGGGGGTCTCCCAGCCCTTCGTAACCATCAGCTTTTGGTGTGCCCTGTTTGACACCGCTCCAGCGCGGAGCTGCGGGTCTGAATTAGGGTTAAAATGTGAGTTTAAGGGTTAAAACGTGAGTTTAAGGGTTAAAACGTGAGCTGAAAGGCTAAAGGGCGCATTTCCGTCCCTAAAACCACGTGTTTTGGGGAAAGGGCAGGTCGTATTCTGCAAAGGCTGGGAGTAACGCGCAGGTGTAAACCATGACAACCAAAGCCAGAGGTGACGTGGTGAAACGAAGGGGTAAAATCCTCCGATTTCCTCTTTTTGCCACGCTTCCGGCAGCCTTTTCCCCACGCACGTGGCGCTGCGGGTCCTGACGGGCTAAAAAAAGGTGCTTTTGGCCCTTTTCTGCTCAACCTTTTCGCCGCGATGCCGCTTCTCGCTCGCCCCGATTCGAGGTTGCGGGCACGGTCTTGCGTCACATCAGTGGCACGAGCCTGTGTCCGGGTCCCCGTGCTGCGTATCGGGGTAGGAAACCTTGATTTTTCCCAATTTTAGGCTAAAATTCCGTCCCTCGGCGCGAGCTGCGCCGCTGTTTCTCGGGATGGGGAAGAGGGCGAGCGATTCCCCTCCGGCTACGTGGGGCAGGTTTGTGTGGGACGGGAGGCGAGCGGCACGCGAAGCCGCCAAGGTCTGGCGTCGTGTTCTTAGCTCTTGGTTTCTCTTTTTGCTTTTTTACCAATTTCCTTCCAATAATCTGATAGAAAAACCCCCGTCTGCAGCCCAGGCTGAGTTTCCAAGAGTGTGGAATTTCGGGTGGTTGCTGGGGAGAGGAGAAACTCCAGGAAAAACCATAACCCCCTCCGTGCGCCGGCTGCGTTGCTCCTGGACTTGCTTTTTTTGGGATTTAGGACGTTAAATCTATCTCTAACTCGGCGTTGGCCGCGCTTCGGGATCGGCCGGACGGGGGACGGGAAGGAGAGATTATGGAGGTTAAAAATCGGGATCGCGTCCTGGCGGGTTCCCGTGAGGGTTCGGGAGCGGATCCGTCGAGCTACGCGCGAGGCGCTGACTGGGAAGCGACGCGTTATCCCCCAAATTCTGGAAGGGGAGGAATCCCGAGGGGAGAGGCGAGGAGTTTCTGAATGGCTGGAGGGAGGTGAGGGGGTTTACCGGGGGCGACGCTCCTCTCCGCGGAGAGACGGAGGCACCTCGGACACAAAAACCTGAGAAATACCCACCTTTATTTCACTTTAGTGATGCCCCCAAGCACCCCATATGTAAATAAATTAGAAATTAATGCAGTGTGGCTGAGCCAGGGTGATATCAGAGTCGTGAAACCTGCTTAGACGTTACTCTTTGGTTCAGAGCTCCCTCCTACCCTCCTCAAGGGTTTAACCACGTCGCTATCCGTCCTGCCTGGTGACAGTCGTTTAGCGCCCGAGCTGCGTTTCGTCTTTCCACCGATTTATCTCGGCAAGAAACAGATTCACGCCACCAAAAGTCCCCTAAACCCTCCGGGAGTCTTGCTCTCAGAGCTCTTCCTTCTGAGAGAAACCCCCCGCCTGCTCCCACTCCCCTTCCTCGTTCGGCATCCGGGCTTCGCCGCTGTCGTGGTGGATGTTGCTCGCCGCCCGGACGGCCGATTTCATGGCGGTGTCGATCCAGGCGTGAGGCTGAGCCGCGTGTTCTCCCGCGAAGTGCACCCGCCCCTCGTGCTGGAAGAGCGCCTGGGAGTAGTCGACGAACTGGTACGGGGTGAAGGCGGCGAACGCTCCCATGGAATGTTTGTCCAGCTGCCACTTCTGTATCACGGATTGGTCGCAGACGTACTGCAGGTGCTCCTTGCTGACTTGGTGGATATCCGACAGGTCCTGGAAAACCACATCCAGGACTTTCTCATCCGTGAGAGGCAGGAAAAACTCGGCATCGTCGTTCCAGGTGTAGGAAGCCAGGATCACCCCCACCCCGCTGGAGAAGTTGTGGCTGGGGTAGTAGATAAAGCGGGAAGGGCGGTCGGTGACAGACCGTCCCCCTCGGATGCCGTCCTTCTCCCAGAACTTCTCGGAGCAAGCCAAGACTATTTTGGTGGAGCTGGCGTAGTGGATGGAGCGCAGGGCGTGGGTCTTGGGAAGAGAGAGCGGTGGCAGGAATTGGATGTGCCGGGTGGCTTTGGCGGTGGAGGTGACGAGGACGTAATCCGCAGTGACGACGGTCGGGGCCAGAGTGTCCGGCGAGCGGTAAAAGACGCGGACTTTGTTCCCGTTGGTCATGATGGTCTCCACCGTGCAGTTGAACCGGACGACGCCGGGCAACGCTTGGTGGAAGGCTTTGGGCAGTTGGTCAAAGCCCCCTGTGATTTCGTCGAGGCTGGAAGGAGGAAGAAGCGTGAGGAGGCGAGGGAAGGACGTTGGGGTTTAGGAACCGTAAGAATTGCCCGGGGTCCCTTTGAATGGGGAGGGATTCCCACTCCGGCATCGAAATGCCACCGAAACTCCCCCGTGGACCGGCACAAAACGGGGTTTCCCACCATGGACACCGCCTTACCTCTCGTTGGAGAAGATGTCAAAGTCCCACACTGAGGCGAGGAAGGAGAGATAAAACCCAGACTCCTCGTTCAACACGTCCCCGATCATGTCAACCGCTCCTCGGCTCAGATTTCCGACTTTAATCAAATACTCCTAGAAAAAGCCAGGAAGAAGACAACCTGGTGTTAATATCCCGCGTATCCCCTTTACATCCCAAGCCAGCGGTCGTGTCCTGCTGCGTTTTTCCTGCTCTGCTTAAAGCCTGGAGAAGGAGAAGCTTTTTCTTAACGCAGCTCTCGTGGCTTCTCGCCGGAGATCGGTGACGCGTGTGGCTTAGCACGACAGACGCTCCGGGGATGAAGAAGGGATTCCTGCCTCCGGGTACACCCTCCGAGACGGCTGCGTCACGCGACAACTCAGGGAATCTTCCCCAGGGCTTGACACTCCGTCGTGTCCGATTAAGGGTCCCGCGTTGGAGGAACGTGGCTGATGTGGATGACTTCCCAGCGCGCTTCCGGTCGCCACGGTTTCTCTCCTATTCCCAGGTGATGAGCCTGCTCTAACGGGAGCCACGCTTCCTCCTTTCCCAGATTTTAAGCAGAAGGCGGCATTGGTTAGGGAAAAGGCACCCAAAAGTGTCAACAGAGGGAGAGACCAGAGTGACTCCGATCCTTTCTCGGAGCAGGGATGGAGGTTTAGGGTTGGTGGGGGGAATATAGTTACTCCCAACTCCTCCCCCCCTGCCCAACCCTTTACCTTGGTGGAGAAGGAGTCGTGTTTGGCTAGATATTCCTTGCAGTCTGTAGCCTGGAACGTCTTGAAAGCCTGGAGAGGAAACGTGGGTCAATTCACGAGGAAAAAGTGCTATTTCCTAAAGCGATGCCTCTTAGGATTCCTCCGGGGTATCCAGCCCCCGGGGTTTGGTAAGCCCCAGAGCAGAGCTAGAGCGAGCGGATCCTGCTGCTTGGGCTTTAAATTTTGGGAAGTGACACCTTGGTGTGGCGTTTTCTGCTTCGCCCGAGTCTTGGGGAATGCGTCCCAGAGAAAGGGGGTTCTCACGTGTCGGGAGGGTTTTGCGACCAACTGCCCCCGTTTCGGAACCAATCCTTCCACCTTTCGTCCCGAAATTGCTCTACTCT